CTATGGAGAGAAGCTGCTTAACTCTTTCTTGGCTTTTGTTTTCTCTGCAAAGAAGAATAATGTTTGTACTAGAAAGAAAAAATTAGTAATAGGAAATTATATCCAAGATAAGTAGGGAAAGAGTGAGAGGGAATCTAGCTGCTCTATACAGTTCAACTCATCAGACTCAGATGAACTATATCCTTGGGTACTATACCTTTCTTTGTATCCCCAGAACTTAGTACAATGCTCTAGAACATAGTGGGCACTTAATAAATGTTGACTGACTGACTTGGGTACTGAACTGAACTATGGTCAATAATGTTTTAAAAACCAAAAATGATAGAAGTACCGTAGGCCTAAGGAATGGTAAAGGTCCCCCAAAAAGGTCCCTATTTTGAAAAAAAGAGGTAAGAGAATGGGATCTGAAAACTTTAGGTGAGTTTCTTTAATTCCTGGTTAGCAATAATTAATAAATACCTAGAAAAGGAAGTGGTGATCACAAAATGCTGTCACATCCTCATCAATCAATAAGTATTTATTAAGTGCCTTCTCTGTGCTGATCATTGTGAAAGGACAGAAGATACATACAAGGAAATAAATAATGGCTACTAGAAAGAAGCTTACATTTTAAGGGCAAAGACAAGTACTCATAGAAATACCATAAAGTGAATAAATACCAATGTATACAATACATACAAAGTAAAGTACTAGATAATACCCATTTCCTATTTTTAACAAGTTTACTAGACTTATTGATCCAGAGAATGCTGTAATTTATTGAAGACTTTTTAAAGTTTTGAAGCCTTTTGCTTTTATGATAGTCATTTCCTTCTATTGCCCCACCATCAACCCCACTGAGTCCTCCTTTAGAGGCAGTTAGGTATTGCAGTGGATGGAATGCTGACCCTGGTGTCAGGGAAACCCGAGTTCAGATCCCCTCAGACCCTTACCAGCTAGGTGACCCTGGGCAAGTCACTTAACCTCTACTTCAGTTTCAACTGTAAAATGGGGAGAATAATAGCACCTACCTCCCAGGGTTGTGAGGATGAAATGAGATATTTGTAAAGTGTTAACAAAGTGACTGGCACATAGTAGGTGTTTAATGTTTCTTTCATTCCTTGTGACACAACTCTTCCTTGGAGAACTATAATGAAAGAACCTTTTTCATTATCCATGAAGATTTGCTTAATTGACAGCTGAGCCAGAACTCCAGAGATATACTATATAGCAAGGGCTGTCCCCATCATTTAGCATGGGAGTGTCATTTTGTAGCTTGAAGGGAGGTAGAATAGTCATCTCCAGCCTCTTCTCCCTCTGATATTTCTCCAAGAGAGACTGTATTTCCTTCCGGAGAGGAAGCAGGAGGTTGGGGCCAGAAGCTTGACCACTCTTTTCTCCTTAGAGGGGGGGGATACTGGGCTAGAATTATATCTGCTCTCTTAAATATTGTTGTTCTAGGGGATACGATTTTTAGGCTCAACCTAAACTTCTGATTACTAGTCCTTAATAGGGGGAGGAAAGAAAGACCTCCCACCCCCAAGGTTTATCTCCAAAGCTTGACATGCCCCCCCCCCCACCCCTTCCCACTAAACATCAGTTCCACAATGAACATAGAGAAGGTAGCAAAGAAACCCATTTATCCAAGTCTCTAGCAAAACAGAATTCAGAGAAAGTAAACATATGAAAATATATACCAGACAATAAAGAGTGAAGAAGGTCTCCCACTGGGAGTGAGGTAACTAAGCTCAACCAACTGAAGAGTCCCAGACCTCAAGCAAGAGAAAGTTTCCCAAAGTCTCGAATGTAGCAAGCTGGTGATAGGGACATGATGGAGACTGACAGCTCCTCTCTTGCTGGCTTCTTCTCAGAGTCTTTTCCTTCAGCAACTTGAAGTAGGGTTGGCATTTTCCATCTTCATTTTTGAAGTTGGAAGCTAGAAGTACCCAAAGCAACTGCAGAGCCTGAAAAGACTAAGGAGATTACATAAGACCTAGAGAGACTCAAAGAGATTGGCATTCTTCCCTTTTCTCATCAACTCTTCCCTGCCCCTCACGCAGGTGGAGGACATTGCTATCTATTAATGAGGACAGAATCCCATACCTATGGGCTTCGGGACTCAGGTTACAACTAAAAGGGCAATCCTGGACTCTCCTTTCTGCTGAGCTCCCAGAAGTCAATAGGGGGCATGAAAGAGACAGCTTGCCCATGAACACATAAGGCAACAGACATGTTGGTTATTGGGTCATCATCCGTTTCTGCCTTCTTTCCTTTGGTTCAGGGCCTTGTGAGATCTCAAAGGTATCAGACATCTTTCCTCTTCCTGGCAATAGCTATCATAGTGGTTGCAGAGGCAATGGCATAGCAAAGGAAGCAACAGGACTAGCTAGGAAGTATCACCCAGAGAGAGACAAACCATAGGGGAGAAAGAGTCCACTTGGCTTACTGGAGGGGAAATGCAAAATAGTTAATGACCAATTGTTGCAAAGTTGCAGTAGTAACAGTTGTTGCTGTTCTTGCTGTGGCATTTATGTAGCCCTTAAGTTTACAAAGTGCTTCACAAATATTGTCTTTTTATCCTAATAACAAACCCTGGGACCTTTTTTTTTTCAAAGTTATGTTTATTTAGTATATGTAGACATAAAAGAGAAATCACTGTCTGATCCTGCCCAGCAGAAAACATGCACAAATCCATGGTATATGAATGAGGAGGACACTAGACCCCACAATCGTAGCCGGGATGGTGCAATCCTGTCAGTCACAGCTGAAGGACAGTAGAGAGCTATACTGAGCTGCTGGGTGGGCCATGGTCCTGTAGAAGTTAACATTAAAATAAGCATGCACCATAGCCAGAAGTCTGTCTGATGCTCCCAAAATAATACCACTGCCAGTCATCTTGTCTCCTCTGTAGATGGGATTCCTTTGCCCACCATAAGAAGCTCTGTCTCTTCATCTTTGTTAATAAAGGTCAAGGCAACAGTAGCGACGTGTCCATCAGGCCAAGATTTGAACCTCCATTTCATCACAGTCTTTTTTTCAGGGACCAGATCTAAGAACCCCTTTGTGACACTGCCATCCAGTAAGTAAAACTTTCCTCCCTCATCTGCTTCTAACACAGCAGAAGCATGGGTAAAGGCCTGAACCATCTCCTGAGTGACAAATACTCTAAAGAGCTCCTCTGGTGAGGAGTGTCCTTCAAAATGACCCTGCAGGTAGGGATCTTCATACTAACGGTTTTAGGCTGTCTTGCCAAACAAAGTACCAGGTTTGACTTTGGACTCTGGAGCTTTCTCAGGCAGCTGGGGGGCTGGATCTACTGTCTCGCCACTCAGAGTAGGTAACATCTTCCCCTGCATGAATTCTGTTTTAAGAGTCCTGATATAAGTTTCCACTGCATCTCAGATCTTTGTCACACCTTCTTGCTTCATTAAGGCCAAGAGGGTTGTGTCATGTTATCTCTGGCAAAACTCACAACAACCTCTACTTCACTGATGTCGTTTTCATCTGACAAGTTGGGGATCTCCAGTGTCCCTTGTATTTTACTCCTGACTTAGTTGTTCAATTCTGTTTGATGGTCCATTCATACAAGAAGATGGGTTTGACTTTGTGACTGTTGATTGATGCCTCTCCATCAAGCTTGCTTACTTCTGTCACCTAACAGTTGCCCTCTTCACCTTGTACTTGGATTGACAGAAACAGGGATTTCAGTTTATCAGTGGACCTTGAAGCATCCTTCTCAGTCCAGTGCCAGCTATTGACATTAGTGGCATCTGCCTACTTCTCCATGGTCCAGTGTGGGTCAGTCTCCTGCCATTATTATCCCCATTTTACAGATGAGGAAACTAAGGTTGAGACAGGCTACATTACTTGCCCAGGGCTACATAGCTAGTGTCTGAGGCTGGTCTTCTATTATGTATTTGTGATCATCAAAAACAAAAGCCTTTCCCAATCTTGGTTCCTTTTTCTATTTCTAAAAATTAGCACTCCTGACACTATTCTTACAGGGCTATGCCAAACTTACAGTGTATATTCATTCCTCATTACATGCTCTTCCTTCAATGCATATACTTTTTTTTAATTTTTAGTTGCCTGATTTCCCTATGCATCCACATTAGACAACTTTTTCTTCATCAGAACTGTTTTCCTTTGTGTCTTCAGCATTTCATTGAGAACTTGTGATCCTCCAACTAACTTTTCATTCCTCTCCAGCAATTCAATAACTATTATTCTATTGCTACTAACATTTTATTACACTATCCTTATTTTAATATGTACTAGCATTTACGTAGCTCTTTAGGTTTTCCAAGTGCTTTTATCCTCAAGACAACCTTGGGGATAGCTATTAGTATCTCTATTTTTACAGAAGAGGAAACTAAGGCAGAAGAAGTGAACTACCCAGAGGCACACGGTTAAGGCCTCCTTAGAACTAAGCTCTCCTCGTCTCCAGGTCCAGCGTCCTATCCACCGCGCTATCCGGCGGCCTCCACTTTCCCACGCTTATTAAGATGATTGTAGAGCATAACAAAGGTATCCTCGATGAAAGCAGGAGAAAACCCAGGATGTCCAAAAGGTAGAGGGAGCAGTACGGCGCATGCGCTCCCCGGCTGGCCTTCCTCGCCATCACAACGGTCCCTAACGGCTATTCCAGGCGAGCTACGGGGCCGCCCCCTCCCCCACTCTTTCTTCAAGGAGGGAGGGGAGGTGTCTTCGAAGGGCCGTACCGGGCTCGTATTACCTTCCCGCCCTGACTCCGGAGGTGGCTCGAGGTTCGCTCCTCCACTTCGCCGTATTCGTACGTTTCCAGCCCTCAGTCACGCCCCCCACAAGTCACGGGATCAGGAGGCGCGCCTGCCTTCGGCCCCGCCTCCCGCGCAGAGGACGGCCGATGACGTCACAGCGCGCGACGTGAAGAGGCCTTCGGGACTCGCAGGGGTCCCGCCTCGTCGGAATCCGAACCCAAGCCCTGTGACGCCATCAGCGCGCGCCGGTGGGAGTCGCGTGTGGGGCAGGACTTGGTAAGACTGACGGGGCACCGAGAAGCTGGAGAGAAAATGCTGCCGCTCCTCGGCAGCCGCGGCGACCTGGTGCTGCTCCGAGACTCGGTGGAGTGGGAGGGCCGGAGCCTGCTGAAGGCTTTGATTCGGGAGGTGGCCCTGAAAGGGGAGCGAGTGCAGGTCCTGGGCTGCGAGGTGAGCGAGGAGGCTTTCAGGGAAGGCCTGGACGCCGATACCAACCGGCGGCTCGTTTACCACGATGTCTTCGGAGACCCCCAGGGCTGGGCCGGGCGCGGGGGGCCCCTGGGAGCCCTGAGGGCGTGCGTGAGTGGAGCCGAGCCCGGCCCCTGCACCCTCGCCGTGGACTCCCTCAGCTGGCTGCTGCTCCACGCTCCCTGCAGCGCCCTGTGCCAGGTGCTGAGAGCCCTGGGCCGCGGCAGCGCCCACGCCGGGCAGATCCGGGTGCTTGGCCTGCTGCACGAGGACGTGCATGGGCCGGGCCCCCTGGGCGCTTTGGCGAGTCTGGCCCATGTCGAGGTGACGGTGGGAGGCGGCTTGGGCTGCACCACTGCGCGCGTCCTCCAGCCCAAGCCCAGACATCGCCCGGTCGAGCAGACTCACTGGCTCTCCATCCTGCCCAACTTTAGCCTGCAGTTCCACGGGGAACCCCCTCTGGAGGCCCAGCTCCACCGCAGACCCCCCTCCCCCACGATGGTCGCCATGGGAGACTTAACCTTTAACGTCCACCTGTCCAAGAAGGAAAGAGAGGCCCGGGATACCCTGGCCCTGCCCTTCCATTTCAGTTCGGAAAAGCAGCAATCCTTGCTTCATCCTGCTCTAGCCTCTTCCACCAGCCAAATATTTTATGAGCCTGATGCTGAAGACTACCTGGACCAGGAAGATCCAGACAATGACCTGGATATCTGATGGTTCTGGAATTCCTAGCAGTGGTATTGACCTAGATCCTGTTGCTGTACTGTACTCATATCTCAGCTTGAAAGTTATGGTTTAAAGTTACTGTGTAAGCCAAAAATTGATATAGTCAGAATTGCCTATGAAAATCCTTAAGTTCCCGTTAAATATAGTACAGTATCTTTAAACAGTTGTAGCTGGGAAAAAGGGGTAGGATCTCTTTTTTAAAAGGCAGTCTATCAGAGAGCAGGTGGTACATAAGTGGTTGCTGTAAAAATAATTGAATATAAATTTTATTTTACATCATACCCAGCTTAGCTATTGATCAGGAGATAGGAGAGTAACTGCTCTTCTCAAATCCGGAAAAAAACCAGATAAACATTTAATAAAGAAAACTGATGGTTAGGGGGAAAAAACTTTTGAAGGGACTTTACACCTAAGTGTGATATTAAAGATGGACCACACCATAATGTGAATTGTTTCACCAGGAAATACAAGGGAACATTTCATCAGGAACCTTCTAGCTAACCAGAAATTCTAGAAAGGGTAACTAATTAGGCTACCCTTCTCATTAGGTTTACCAGCTGCAAGATTATGGGCACAATTAGGAGATTCTAGAATCACTCCAAATCATGTACATACTCATTGTATCCTTGAATGGAGTAACAGGTTTCACCTATGTTGTTTAAATTGTTTTTCTCTCCCTTTGAGTTAATTTTAGATTAAAAAATAAAAGGGTGGGGCTGACTTTGACTAAATTTGGAAGAAAAGGAGAATCAAAGGAGGGATAGGTCCACTGTTCATTGTGAGTGGAAAGATTAAAACCATTACTGGAGAGAAGGAAGAACTGCTCGACTTTTGTTTTTTAATCCATTTTCTCTGCTAAAGAGAATAATCTTTGGAATGTAAAGGGGGGGGCAGGTATCAGAAGTGAGTTTCTGTCCAAATTAAGTGTAATGATGGTTGTCCGAGGAGCCCTTAGATGTGTTGGACTGGAGCATTTCCATGGAGTTGGGGCTACACCCTAGCCACTGCCAGTCATGCCTGTGCTCTGACTAGGTCACTTCGTGTGAAACTGAACATGCTTCCTACCCTCTTCCAGTGGCCCCATAATAAGTCACTTTTTTTTTTCTAAAGGCAATTGGGGTTAAGTGACTTGCCCAGGGTCACACAGCTAGTAAGGGTCAAGTGTTTGGTTGAGGCCGGATGTGAACTCAGGTAGTCCTGACTTCAGGTGATCTATCCACTGCACCACCTAGCTGCCCCATAATAAATCACTTCTAATGATACATGAACCTTGGTCTCTTGCTCAGGAATATGCTGGAACTAAAGCTTCTAGTTGGTCCTTAAGTCCCTGTGATGGGGAAGGGGGCCTAGGTGTGCCAAAGAGGATAGGCCACTGAGCCAACCCACTTAGTAGACTTTAAGAGGAGTGACTCCACCTTCTTGCTTATTCTCTTCCTGATAGTCAAATACATCAGGACTCTTCAAACTTTACCTCAGACTTTCAGTGATGGGAGAGACAATTGTTCTCCCCTTCTCCCAGCAGTTTTGGTAGCTGCTCACACATGGCAGTGAGAGCAGGTACTGTCTAGGTAAGACCGAGATTAAATCAAATCAAATGAAAGGATTCTTCTTTATGTTTCTTACCTGAGCAGAGGTCACCAAACAATCCTGAGATGAATCTTCTAGCCTTGGCAGCAACCTCGTAAGCTTAAGAACCTGTGATTTCCAGAATCAAGTGCAATTTGCCCAGTGGAAAGTACTTCCTGATTGGACAATATTTCTTAGAGGAAAAGATAACCACTGACAAGGTGATCCTGGCTTGCTAGAAAATACAGATCTTGAGTGAGCTGAGCAGACAGTGTAGATCTGAAGTGAAATTGCTCAAGATTGCCTACTCACCAATCCTACAAGTTTCTGAGGAGACTTTACCTTTTGGGAGAATACAATAAAAATTACAAGTTACTATAGCATGCTTAAGTATTTGTCAGTGTGTGCTTTTGAGTCTTGTTTTAAACGTTTATTTTGTGGTAAAGGAAATAGCCATCCTATGTTTATATATTATGTACTTGTTTATGCTGTTGCTCATTGTGTAGGTAACGAAATGAGAGCATGTAGCTGTTTTTGAAGCACCGAACCGAGACAAACTACATTCTTGGAGGTTGTAATAACTGCTAGATCTCAGTAAATCAATATAAGATTTTGAAGAATCTTCCCCATTTGTAATCAACCAACAAATATTTATTAAGTGCCTACTGTATGTCAGGCACTGTGCTAAGCATTGAACCATTTGATGGCAGATTGTTACATGCACTATCCAGTGGCATTATTTTGTCAGTCATTTTTACTTAATTGTTTTTTATTCTTCACAAGGGATAGTGAAATAGAGGAGAAATGGGAACTGTCTAGATTCTAAAACAAAAGGTATTAACAAAATTTTTAAAAATGAATAAAGATTATGGAGGATGGGAAAGATACTAACAGACTTGAAAAATTTAGTGTTGAAAGACAAAACATCTGATCAGGAATACTAAAGACTATGTGTATCTGGTATTGATTAGAGAAATGCAAATTAAAACAAGGTACCACCTCACCCATCAGATTGGCATATATGACACAAAAGAAAAATTATAAATGTGGGAAAACTGGGACACTGATGTTGGTGGAGTTGTGAACTGATCCGACCATTCTGGAGAGGAATTTGGAACTAGGCCCAAAGGGTTGTAAAACTGCAAACTATAAAACCGTTTGATCCAACAATACCACTATTAGGTCTGTCTCCTAAAGAGGTCCACTAAAAAAGGGAAAAGAACTATTTGTACAAAAATATTTATAGCAGTTCTTTTTGTGGTGACTAAGAATTGGAAATTGAGGGGATCCTCATCAAATGGGGAATGACTGAATAAGTTTTGATATATAATTGTGATGGAATATTAATGTGCTATAAGAAATGACAAACAGGATGCTTTTAAAAAAAACCTGGAAAGACTTACACGAACTAATCCAAAGTGAAGTAAGCAGAACCAGGAGAACATTGAATACAGTAACAGCAATACTGTATGATGGAGAACTGTGAATGAATTAGTTATTCTCAGCAATGCAGTGATCCAAGATAATCCCAAAGGAATCGTGATGAAAAATACTATCCACCTCCAGAACAAGAACTGATGTCATCTGAATACAGACCAAAACGTAGTATTTTCACTTTGTTGTTGTCGTTCATGTTTTCTTGCACAAAATGACTTAATATGGAAATGTTTTACATGATTACACATCTATAACATATCAGATTGCTTACCATCTCAGGGAGGAGGGGAAGGAAGGGATAGGATTTGGAACTCAAAGCATAAAAACAGTGAATGTTAAAAAATTATTTTTGCAATGTAATTGGGGGAAAATATTATTTAAAAAATAAAAAATACATGGGGGGAAAGAATGTGTGTGTGTGTATGTGTGTGTGAGCACCACATGGCACTTTTACAAAAACTGCATGTGCTAGGGCTAGAAAAAATAAGAATGTTTAAAAAAAAAAGCAATACTAAATTTAGTATTAAAACAAGGTACCACTTCACCCATCAGATTGGCAAATATGACACAAAAGAAAAATGATAAATGTGGGAGGGGATGTGGGAAAACTGGGACACTAATGCATTGTTAGTGGAGTTGTAAACTGATCCAACCATTCTAGAGAGGAATTTGGATACTAAATGCTAAACACCACCTTTACTGGTGTAATGCAATAAAAATAGTCCAGAGAATACAACAAAAAGATACAACCCTAAATGGGGGCTTAGTGATGACATGCTGAATAAAGAGTGGATTTAAGAACAAATATCAGAAATGGTGAAAGAGAATGATGATGAGACAACAGACCAAAATTTGTGGGATACAGCTAAAGAAACATCTAGGAACATATATCAACAGTTTAAAAAAAAAAAAAAAGACTAGTGAATAAGCAATTCGAAAAATCCAAGGGAAGAACAAAAGAGGGAATATTGAAAATTAGAGGAAAAATAGAGAATGGAATTAATGAAACTAAAACCCAGTTATTAAAAAAAAAACTAGCAAAATTAATAAACCTGAAGTTAACCTGAACAAAAATAAGAAAATTACCAAAGTAAAACATTAAGGCAAAGTCACAAGACAGAATAATTTAAAAGAATTATCAGAAAATACCATTTACCATTGTGTGCCAGTAAAACTGTGAATTTAAAAGAAATGGAAGTTTATCTAAAAATAGTTAAAACATCCACATTGGCTTATGGCTACGATGGTAATACTAATGTGCTATAAGAAATGAAGGAGGTGGTTTCAGAAAAACATGGTAAGACCTATATGAACTGATGCAAAATGAAGTGAAAAGAATCAGTAGATCATTATGCACAATAACAGCAATATTATAATGATGATCAACTGTGAAAGACTTAGATACTCTGATCAAAGACAATTCTGAAAGACTCATGAAAAAAATACTATCCATCTCCAGAGAGAACTGATGAACTCTTAAGTGCAAATTGAAGTATAATTGTGTGTGTGTGTGTGAGAGAGAAAGCGAGAGATGGCTAATATGGAAATACGTTTCACATGATTTCACATATATAATTGATATATTTGCCTTCTCAGTGAGTGGGGAAGGGATGGGAGGGAGAGAACCTGGGAGTCAAAAGAATGTTACAAATACTTTTTAAAAAAATATCCACATCAACATAACAAATAGAGATCTTAAGTAGCTTACTCTCAAAAATGAAATTGAACTAATTATAAAGTAACTATCAAAGAAAAAATCCATGGCCCAGACAAATTTACAATAAATATTAGCAAATATTTAAAGAGCAACTATTATGTAGGAAAAATATTACCAAACAAAAGCAAATGTTTCAAATTAAAAGGAGAGAGAGAGAATGGAGTCTGCAAACTATAGTTCAGTTGCTTGATGCTGATTCCAAAAAAAAAGACTGGAACATTATTAGAGAGGTGGTTAATGAATATTTAGAAAAGAGTTGATCACAAAGAGCCAGTGTGGCACCATCAAAAACAGGTATTGATGCACTAAACTTATTTTCTTTTTTGAAAGACCTACTATACTATTATTTTAGCAAAGTATTAAGTACCTGCTTAGTTCCAGAAACTGTGCTAGGGCCTGAGAATACAAATAAAAAGGGAAATAGTGACTGCCCTCAAGGAGTTTACTTCCTATTCAAGGAAAACAACACATATAGATAAATACCAAATAAAAGGTAATTTGGGGGAGAGGAATAGCAACTGTGGGAATTAGAAAAGAATCTATTTTTCCTGAAATTGATAAGAAGCATTTACCTAAAACCATCAGCAAACATACTTTATAATGGAGATAAGTTAGAAGCCTTCCCATTAAGATCAGGTGTGAAATAAGGATACCCACTGTTACCACTATTCAATATTGTATTGTAAATCCTAGCAATAGCAGTAAGAGAAGAAAAAGATAGAAAGAATCAGAATGAGCAATGAGGTAATAGAATTATCTCTTTTTGCAGATGATACGATGATATACTTGGAATATCCTAAAGACTCAACTAAAAAGTTAGTCGAAACAATTTTAGCAAAGTAGCAGGATATAAAGTAAACACACATAAATCATCCTGTATACATCACCAGCAAAACCCTGCAAGAACAAATGTCAGAAATGGTGAAAGAAAATGATAATTATAAGACAATAGACCAAAATTTGTGGATACAGCTAAAGAAAAATCTAGGAACACATATCAAAAAAGTTAAAAAAAAAAAAAAACTAGTGAACTTAATAAGCAATTAGAAAAATCCAAAGGGAATATTGAAAATTAGAGGAAAAATAGACAATGGAATTAATGAAACTAAAATCCAGTTCTTAAAAAAAACTAGCAAAATTAATAAACCTGAAGTTAACCTGAACAAAAATAAGAAAATTACCGAAGTAAAGCATTAAGAAATACCCTGTTCAAAATAACTCTAGACAATATAAAATACCTGGGACTACGTCTGCCAAAACAAACCCACAAACTATATGAACTAAATTAAAAAATATATATATATACATATATATATACATATATATACACAAATAAAATCACATTTAAATAATTGGGGAAGTATGAATTATTCATGGGTAGGCATGGCCAATATAATAAAAATGAAAATTTCACCTAAATGAATCTATATATTCAATGCCATCCCAACTAAATTACCAAAAAAAAAACCCTATTTTATTAAGCCAGAAAAAATAATAATAATATTCATTTGGAAGAACAAAAGGTCAAGAATATTTGAAAAAAAAAGTGTAAAGGAAGGAGGTTTAGCGGTACCAGATCTTAAACTATATTATAAGCCAGTAATTATCAAAACTATAGTACTAAGAAATAGAAAGATCAATGGAACAGAGTAGACAAACAATTTACAGCAGCAACTGACTATAGTATCTATGTATTTGACAAGTATAAAGACTTAAGTTTTGGGGATAAGAATTCATTATTTGGTAAAAAATTGTTGGGAAAGCTGGAAAGCTGTTTGGCAAAAATTGGGCATACAGCAAAATATTGCACCATTTACTAAGATAAGGTCAAAATGGATACATGACCTAGATATAAAAGGAGATATTACAAGAAAATTTGAAGAACATGGAACATATTATCTGTCAGACTATGGATAGGGAAACAATCTATGAATAAATAAGAGAGAGCATTGTGAGGTGTAAAATGGATAATTTTGACGACATTAAATTAAAAAGCTTTTGTACAGGGGCAGCTAGGTGGCACAGTGGATAGAGCCTGGTCCTGAAGTCAGGAGGACCTGAGTTCAAATCCAGTCTCAGACACAACACTTACTAACTGTGTGACCCTGGGCAAGTCACTTAACCCCATTGCCTAGCCCAAAAAAAAGCTTTTGTACAAATAAAAAAAAAATGTAGCCAAGATCAGAAGGAAAACAAAATTGAGGGGAAAATTTATAGACAATTTCTCAGATAAAGG